GTGATCATTCATTCATTTTCCAAAAACCGCTTATCGTACTGGGGGGTCGTGGGGGGGCTGGAGCCTATCCCAGCTGACACTGGGCGAAAAGCGGGGTACACCCTGGACAGGTCACAAGACTATCACAGGGCTGACAGGCAACCATTCACACTCACATTCACACCAAGAATTTAGGGTCGCCAGTTAACCTGCATGTCTTTGGACTGTGGGAGGAAGCCAGAGTACCCGGATAAGACCCATCCCCACAGGGAGAACATGCAAACTCCACACAGAAGGGCTCCCCCACCCTAGGTTTGAACCCCTCACCCTAGGTTCAAACTGGCAACTGTATTGCTGTGAGGTGACAATGCTAACCACTGCACCACTGATTTGCGTGTCCCGTGTTAAAACCAAGTGAAGTCTGAGTTACTTTAAGGCACATCGTCACCATGTGTCTTTCCCTAAACCTAACCTATGCGTTATTACTTTCCTAAACCTTCATCCAGCCATGTGTTTTTGTGCTGATTCACAAACTGCATTTCAAAAGCAGGATCTCCATCTCTCACTCCATCTTTTACAATCTGTCTGGCAGAAGTCTTATTTGCTCGCTGTCGGCACCATTTGTTTTTCCACTCTCCTCTGTTTCCTGCCCCACTGCTGTGTTACAGTCCACCGGTCTTCCCTCGCTGTGACATCAGCCGGCCAAACTGCCACCTCTTCCTTATTACAGCTGCTCACTCAGAAAAAAAAACATTTGCTACTTAAACATATTTTCTTTGTTTAATGTTCCTGAGAGGAGGAAGGGCTGAATCATGAGCCAGTTGTGGGAAACTTTTCAGTAAACATCAGCAATTTTTCTTTTTTGCCGTCCTCCAACCCCTCTTGATTGCATCTATTTGTTTTTCAATCTTTAACGAGCAACTCATCCTTTTTGTGTTATCGTGTTTTTATGAACTGTTCATGTCTTTTCTCTATCTACTGGGGATTACACACTGATGAATACCTATTCTCACACATGCACACACATGAACACATCAGTCCTCCAGCTCTGCATACTTGACAGTACTAACACAATCCCTTTAAAACAAATACAATACAAAAAATGGTATTGTTAATTTTCTTTCTAATGTTTTATAGTTGTTGTTGTTTTTTCTCTCTATTTTATTAGATATTTATTTTATTGATTGATTATATTTGTCTTTTTCTCTCTTTTTTTTGACATGATTTTACTTTCAAGTATTTTTAACTACATTTTTTTAATCACTATTACAGTGATTTCTCGCTATCTCTCTCTCTCTGTACAGAGGTATTTATCTACAGTATGTTTATTTACTTGTTGGGAAATGTCCATTGAAACTTAGAGACTTGCAAGACAAACAAAAAAATGTATTAATAAATAAAAGAAGAAGAAGACAAAGAAGAAAGTGTCATGACTCCTAAAACAATATATATCCACACAGATGTCCAGATCATGGGACGCAGTGGGTCAGTGTGATGATCTTGTTAATCTTAGCACGGCGCCTCAGGCAAAACAGAAACATCAAGGTTAACAGCAGCTGTGAGCGAGCCGAGCCGAGCAGCATAGTCAACTGACTCTGTGACGCACACTCTGTAGTTTGTTAACCTGATCGGACACTGACACGAATAAAACACTTACTGATTACCCCTGAGTGTGAAGGCTGTGAAGGGACCAGTCACACTTACCAGGGGAGTTTCCTTTGGTGGGAACCGGAGTGGGAAGCATTTATTTGGTTTCAGCTTGGTTTTGTAGGTGATTGCAGTTTACTCATAGCTTGACTCACAGATAGTTGCTTTAAGGACAGCGGTTGGTCGTTTGAAGCTCAGTTTGAAATCTCTGCAGGAATAAATGAGTGAAGATTTTGTGGTCATTCTGTAAGAGATCATTAATCTGTATTAAAGGTCCCATATTGTGCTCATTTTCAGGTTCAGACTTTAATTTATTCATTCATTCATTATTTTGTATTTCAACATATTTATATGCTTTAATGTAAAAAACAAACAGTGTAGACAGTGTAGCAGCACTTTCTGTCAGCTTGGGTCCACGTTTACTTCCTTTCAGTTGATATCATTCACATATACTACAAAACATTCAAACAGGAAATACAAAGGGATCCATTTAGAATGTTTTTATTTTCAAATTTCAAATGATAGATATAGCCCGAATCAGTGTGATGTCACGCTAACAACAATCACCTTCCAAAAGACAGCTGGCAGACAATTGATTTGAATTGTTGTGAAATGTAAAATCGGTAAACTTGTTTATCTTTGTTGTCATTTTTAGCTGTACCTGTAACATTTAAAGATATAGTTAAACACTGTGGTACGACCTCGCTGATGCCTTTGCTCTGCTTATTTTATGTACTTTGTTGCTTTGCTATCATCTTTGATAGCTGTGGTAGACTGGTAACTCCAGTGTTCTGCTAAGTAAACTTACTCTTTTTGTCAGTGGAGTCTGGTTGCTTTCATATTGCGGCTTCAATTCCCTGTCCCCTGTCAAAAAAACGTCGTCTGTGTGCAATGAAATAATCTAAATATAGCATTCGCTTAAGCTTGTATTGATTTTTTTTAGGTGGGCCTTTTTTAGAAGGCTTAAAACTAATCAGTTGAGGCAGAATTTGATTAAGATATGATAAAAGATAAAGAGAGATTTGCTCAGCACAGTTTGATTTTATGTATGTGATGTGGGGGGTTTCTAGCCCGTAATTATTACATTATGATTCGTTCTATAGTATAGACACACTGAGCATAGCGTTAGCTTAGGCAGAACACGATGTCAAGCTCAGCTCACATCCCAGCTACATCAGCTGATCTCAAACAGCCCAGTCAACTGATAGAGTGGCTGATTGATGGAAGGGAGTCAGCTGATAGATCACATGATTCCTTTCTTTGCAACCAATGGGCAAATCTCATTCAGGGCGCCCTATTTAAACTACTCTGGCCTGTCTACTGTTGCTGCTTCCTCTGCAAGTCACTTTGCAACCTGCCTCCACCCCAGCTCCTCCTTTTCATGCTGTGTCTGACTTATCAATGTCATTTCTGTTTGTCATTGATGCTGCTCTGTTCTGTTCTGCTCTTTCTGTGTAGGCACATGGAAGGGCAGAGAGTTTCGCTCTCTCTGCCTTAAGGCTTTCCATGTAAGCACATGGGAGGGCGGAGAGGTGTGCTCCCTCAACCTCGGGCTTTCCACGTAGGCCTAGGAAAGGCAGAGAGGTCCCAGAACAGAGCCAAATATAACACTGCAAATGGAAATAAAGTTTTCCTTGTCTAAAGTGTTCCTGGCTGAAATTAATTTAAGGACAATTTGGAGCATCCAACACTTAATTTCTTGCATTCTGGTGATTTTTTTTTTTACTTTTCTGCCTCAATTGATGGTGTAAATGTCTTTAATTATTTCAAAATACTGCTACTTACATGTTTTTATTGACAAATGCACATGTTCTAAATATTGAGGGGGGCATGTCCATAGTCTCCCACTGTCTGCCACTGTCTCTTGATCCTGTCAAAGTACTCCCACACCTCACCTCTTCTCTGTTCACTACACTTGCTTCCTGTTTCTGCGTGCATCCATTTCACTCCTCCAAGCCACGGACAAACCGTGTTTGCACTGCAGAAGTAATTTTTCACACCTGAATGAGTCACATTAAAGCAGCAAACTTTTTTTTTTTTGAATCAGCAGGTTTCAATCAACCGTTCTTATGGCTCCAGTTTAACCCTGTATCTGCCTCCTCCCCTTCACTTTACAAAAACCCCATTCAGATTCATGACTACTGAAAATAAGGAAAACAGCTTTGTTCCCACTTCCCACCTCCATACACACATCCTCTTCTTTTGTAAAAACTGTTGGGTACAGATAATTGACCGTGGCAAGGACACTCCTTTGCATTTGGCTGAATCTCATGAAAGAGATGAAGACTGTTTATATTGTGACTCACGCACACAGACACACATTTATGTTTTTTCTTTATCAGCTAAATATATGCATGCACACACACATACACATGTGTACCCTACAAAACCACTCCCCTTAGTACAATAATAAGTGGTTTGCATATTTATAACAGCAAGAATTATCATTATACCTCATTATTTTTTATTTGTCTTTATTTCTGTTTCCATCAACCCTCTGTGTATGTGTTGTATGTCACTACCTCTGTTTTCCACCAATTTAAAAACAGCTAAAGACACAGACACACACAAAAAGCTACTCCACTCTGACTTCTTTTCCTCAGGTAAATGAATCATGCTAATCATGTGGATAACATTGTACCCTGAGTGCCCCCTTTTGGACACTTGAGTAACTGCAGCATCTCAATTCTCAGCGGCTGCAGCCTCCTCCTGCCTGGTAACATAAAGCTGCAACAGTTACTGTGTGCGGTAGAAGTGGACACACAACTGCAGCCTAATCTTTATTTGCAAATATGTGTTCAGTGCTTTATTTTGCAAGCATGTGAATAAACAGAAAACAGGTTGTGGTGCTGCTTGTTATGATAAAAAAATAAAATATAACCACACTTTAAAAGCTGCGTGATGATTCAGGATCAGTTAGGACGAGATGTCAAACTGGCTTGCAACAAATTTGCTCAATCTGGAAGAGCTCACATCCGCTGTCTGGGCTTTATGTTTTGAGAAAATGTCCAAGGGTCAGCCTGATGTTCAACACATTGTGCCAAACAGGGTTAAACGCCGGAAGAAGCGTCAATTATTTACTGGTAAAGTTCCATTAAAGTTATTATTTTGCTGCTGCGCACACTTGCCCTGTTCCAACACCAAAGTTACACAATCCACTACCTCTGAAAGGTCCGCTGGTCACTGTTCCTCAGCTACCAGCTTCATCAGTAATGACAGACTGACGCACCAGTGGGAGATTGGTCCATTTTTTTTTCCCAGCGCTCAATGAAGCCCCGAGTTCCTACTCACTGAGCTGTGACGCGTTCGGGAGGAGGGCTCCGCCGTGCGCATAAATACGCAGCTCCAGCCCGGAGTTCAGACAGAAACACAGCAGAGCAAACGCGAGTATCTACGCCACCTGAAGGCTGCTCAACCGCCTTTTACGCACACTATCCAGCGAAAAGCAGCCCAGGTCTAATCATGATTAAGAAGATGTCGCCCTCCGAAAGCGATTTTGACATCCCCGCAAAGAACTGCTACAGGATGGTGATTTTGGGATCCACCAAAGTTGGGAAAACTGCCATCGTGTCCCGTTTTCTGAACGGGAGGTTCGACGAGCAGTACACGCCGACCATCGAGGACTTTCACAGGAAACTGTACAGCATCAAGGGAGACGTTTACCAGCTAGACATACTGGATACATCAGGGAACCACCCTTTCCCCGCTATGAGGAGACTGTCCATACTGACAGGTACTTATCTGCACAGGTATCTTTGTGTTTTTGCAGGAATAGTTACAGAGAATTAGAGAGCAATGATATTTATGCATTTAAATGCTGCAAGCACTGTGCGCTCTGAGCGCATGGCTGCAGGGCGCACAGTGCATGTGATACTTTAGGGTTAGAAAGCACACATGTTGCATCTCTAACACTTTGCATGTATCAAAAGCAAGACAAGTAGTTAACCAATGCATTCTTCTCTCCCTCCAGGTGACGTGTTCATCCTCGTCTTCAGTCTGGACAACAGAGACTCCTTCCAGGAGGTGCAGCGGCTCAAGCGTCAGATCTTCGAGACCAAGTCGTGCCTAAAAAACAAAATCAAAGAAAACATCGATGTGCCTCTGGTCATCTGCGGAAACAAAGGCGACAGAGAGTTTTACCGTGAGGTGCAGCAGGACGAGATCGAGCAGCTTGTGGCCGGAGACGAGAAGTGCGCGTACTTCGAGATCTCCGCCAAGCGCAACGAGAACGTGGATAAGATGTTTCAGACTCTGTTTACCTTGGCCAAGCTACCTCACGAAATGAGCCCCGACCTTCACCGGAAAGTGTCCGTGCAGTACTGCGACATGCTGCACAGAAAGTCTCTGAAAAACAAGAAGATGAAGGACATTGGGGAAGCGTACGGGATGGTCACTCCGTGCGCCCGGAGACCCAGCGTGCACAGCGACCTCATGTACATTAAAGAGAAGGCCATAGGGGGCGGCCAGGGTAAAGACAAAGAGAGATGTGTGATCAGTTAAGCTGAGTGCGAGGCACAAACTGAACACAAATCTTTGAATGAAGGCAGCCTGGTGCGTCAGTTTGAGAGACGACCTGTGCGGCCGGCTGCGCTCAGACTGACAAGCGAGGTGTGGAGACGCCGGGGCCGCCGCCGCGCGCTCTGGCGCAGGCGCCGTCTCCAGGGACACTGACTGGACAAGAGAGTCCGCTCGAACCGCCAAAACAGACATTTGAGAATGTTTGCTTGTTCTGTCAATCAGAGCCCGATGTGTGACGTGGCTTCATACCTTGTGAGACTCGCGCATCGATGCGTAAAATGTGTTTTGTTGACGTCATGCCTTTCACAGATGCCAGAGGGGAGAGAAAAGAGACTCTTGGCGCCGAAGGTGCAGTGTTAGAGGGGGAAATAATGTTGTTTACATCTTATATATTTTATAATTGCGAAGTACACTTGAATGTCTCGTTGCAACTATTTTTTATTGTGAATGTATATTTATTGTTAATGTCAGTTTTTGCAAAGAAGTCAAACAAAATCTTAATATAATTAAAAAAAGATAAACTTATTTTTGCATTGTTTCTCATTCTTCTATCTTGCATTCATTCTATACTGTCGACCTTTGTGCACACAACACAAAGCCACCTGCTAGTCCCTTCATGTGTATCCAAAAGCCCCATGGAGTGAACACATAGATACTACTGGCAAGTTTTAACCCCTGAGACACTAAACACGTCTGCAGAATAAGCATCAGTGGGTCAATAATAGACATCTCTCAGCACCTACAAACATGTGTCTCATTGAGCTAATGCAGCTGTCTTAAATGTGCAGATATATTGCAGAATATAATATGATTAAAAAAAGCAAAAATCACAACCATGATTAAGGCAAGACATGGTTTTTTATTAATTAAATTCATACACAGAGGAAGGTTCAAGGTGCTGTGCAGAAAAGTTAAAACAGCACAAAAAAGCTCATGCAATTAAAAGAGAAAGATGAAACAGTAAAAGGCAAAAATAATTTAAAAATCAGAAATTGTAATAATAAATAATGATCGTAGGTGAAAGTGCTTGGGAATAAGATTCTCAGTTTGGATTTTAAAACTGCCATGATTAGGTCATCCATAAGACCATCAGGCAATTGTTTCCGTCGTTGCCCTGTATAATTTAATAACAGTGTGTGCACCTGGATCCAAACAGAGATAACATTCATCAAATAAGCAGACACAGCACAGAAGAAATGGCTTAATTCTCATAAGAAAGCAGGTTTTTGTGGCTTGACAGATATGAAGCCAGAATATGAAAACACAATATTGGTATAAGGGTTAGAAACCGGATCTGTTCGCACCACAGTGACTCCACGTTCAGTAAGTAAAGTAACCCTAATCCTAAGCCTTAATGAATTCACATGAATGAAGTGGACCTGGAAAACTGACTGAAAGTCAAAGTCCTTCCCCACCCATAATATCATTTAAATCATTTAATGATTTAATATCTCTTAAAATATGTATATTATGCGCCATTAATCAAAGCAAAGTCCTTGTATGGGAAAACTCACTTGGCAGTAAATTGGATTCTGATTCTTAAAATGCATGATGTAATGTAAATTGGCAGATTATGCCTATTAAAATTTCTGATCCTGAGTCCTCTCATCAGTGCCGGATCTAGCAAACAGGCGACAATCAGCACCCTAGGAGATTGCCTAGGGTGCTGATTGTCGCCTATAGTGTATGTCGCCTATAGGATGATCCGCCAGTGCTTGTCGTGCATTTTAAAGGGATAGTTCAGATTCAGATTTTTTTATGCAGGATTGTATGGAGTACTTATCCATATACAATATATTACATACAGTAGATGTCAGGCAGCACATAGTTTGGAGAAGCATGCTGGAGTCTGACACAAAAGGTAATGTACTAATGTGGGGGCCACCTAAAAACAGCCCCCCCCCCTCCCCACCCAAAAAAAAAACAATATCAGTTAAATTGTATGCTATACTGAGAGTATTTTTACAGCTTTACAGTACCTGTCCATCTGACAGCTTGTTTAAACTTGGAAGCCACCAGACTCCATTGAGAAAAACAGTAATTTTAGCCCACTGAAAACAGGAGCTGCTGGTGTACCACTGCTTTGATCAGTTAGTTAGTTTGTGTAATTGTGTGACTTTGGTGAATCCGAACTAACCCTTTTAAATGCCCATGTCACAGAATCACACAAACAAAATAAGTGATCGAGGCAATGGTAGACGAGCAGCTCCTGTGTTGAGTAATGTTAAATCACTGTTTTTCTCAGTGGAGTCTGGCTCTGAAGAGACCAACTTAATGGCTTAATTTTCCTGTTGGAAATCACTGTCTGACAGCAAGGTGAAGCTGTAAAATTATTCTCAATATAGTGTACAGTTGAACTGATATTGATTTTTTTAGGTGGCTAAAATATGTTTTATTGCTGACCCCTCCACAGTCCTTCATTGCAGAGGTACCATATCGGATGCCAAAGTGGGAGTGTGCCGACTGACACCTATGGAAAAGTACTCCATGCAACCCCCCTTCAAAAAATCACAACTATCCCTTTAATGACAGGCCATACAATAGAAAAACAAATACAGTGTACACTGGAGAATTATTACACCCTGCAGCCTCCAAACAAACCACACAGTTTGTTCTCATCAGGATTTTAATACTGTGTTATTTCACCTGCTTCCCCCCTGAGATGAACCAGAAACACAGTGTCCAGTTCTTTCTTCCTCTCTGCAATGTGTCAGCTCCTCGCCATCAGCAATAATCCTGTATACTGTATCCTGTAAATTCACACACACACACACACACACACACACACACACACATACATCTTGCATTATCCTGCGTGCATGTGAGAGAGAAAGTGTGTAAGGAGTCAGGGACACACAGCAGTGTACTGTAACACTGCCCTCCTGCTAATCAGTAACACCATGTGCTCTACTGCTTGTTGCATTCATTATAAGAATTCATAATTATGCTGTTTATTAGTATGCATCATTGACTCTATTAGCTGAAAAGCATCATATCTGTTTCTCATGTTGATCTCCAATCTCAGGGACATTCGGAGAAAATACAAAAACATCATTCATGAGATCACAGTGTACATGATTCGCACCCATGAATTCATTGTTAACCAGTCAGGGCATTTTTTCATTAACAACGGCGTCAGAGAGGAAAGAGGAAGGCCAGTGTCACAGTGTGAATAAGTACAGCGTGTACCAAAGAGTACAAAGCACTACAATGAGAGAGGACGGTTACAGGGCAGGAGTCCTCCTTCAGAATGTCTCGGCAAATAGTTTGCGAATAGTTATCTGAAGACGGTTCAGTGACAAAGTCTTCACTACATAATCTATGCATTACAAGAATACGTTACAGAGAGCCAGACTTTAAATTATAATTTGAAATCATGATAGCTTCAGGTAAAACTGTCACATAGACAGACTGATGTATAAAAAGAACATGTTACTGTAACTGAAGACAAACAGTTTTTTCTGCTCCATGGAGCTAGATCATTAGCCCTTGAATATAAAAACGACTCATTGACATCAGTTGAGAAATGTAAATGTTAAAGTGCTTTTATCCAGAAAAACTCCCCTGTTTGCAGTCTTGCTCGGTCCAATGTGGCAGCAATTTTGACGTATCGCAGCAACAGGCCAAAGCTGTCAGTGTGGCGTCTACAGTAAATAATGTATGTCTATGGCTGCAACCACTACCCAGCAGGCTTAAAATCACTAGGTGCTACCGCTGACTGGGGGCATTTAGGCTGTATAGTGACTGAGACACAGTGTGGGCAGAGCCTTAAAGACAAAACACCCCAAGCAATTACAGACCTCTGCCACTGCAGATCATAACTGATGACTTTGCCTGTATTTTCAGCTCTTAGAGCAAAAATGGTTACATTTTTAGCCATTGGTATGCACACATTTACAGATTTATGTACGCATGTAAAGATTTATGTTTGTATTTAGAGATTTGTCTTAACATTTATAGATATATTTATGTTTGTATTTAGAGACTTGTCTTAACATTTATAGATACATTTATGTTTGTATTTAGAGATTTCTCCTAACATTTATAGATACATTTATGTTTGTATTTAGAGATTTGTCTTAACATTTATAGATACATTTATGTTTGTATTAAGAGATTTGTCTTAACATTTATAGATACATTTATGTACGCATTTACAGATTCATCTAAGCTTTTTGAGATATATCTATGTTTGCATTTACAGGCTACACATTTACAGATTTATGTACACATTTATGGATCTATTTCAATCAGGAGAGCCTCATTTTTATGGTAAAAGAATATTTATTAACATGTGAATATATGAATAACAATGTGGAAAGTCTTTGGGGATTAGACCCCATAGAGATGATATGATTTAAGGATGGTGATGAATCCATAGTCGAATAAAGTTAGGGAGTTAGGGTTAGGGTTAGGGTTCCATACTACATACTGTTTCTAAGCAGGTTCTGAGTAATGTTACCATGTAGACATTCGCAAAAGTAACTTGATTTAAAAAAGTAAGTTTGTACAGTTTAATAAAAAAATCTTGGTGTTTGAGTGAGCTGTTATTTACCCCAATGCAATGCACAGAAGAAAGCAGGAGCTCACACTTGAAAAAGATTAAAAAGAATAACAGATGATAGTGAAAAAGAGGCGGAAGAGACAATTGTGGCATTAATTCTGATTAAGTGAGTCAGTGTTGGCTGAAGACTGCAGGTTTAAAATATCAGGTTTATCAGGTTTCACATCTCTATTTCTGCAGCATCGATTTTAATCCTTTTTTTAACTGTCCATCTTAAGTCTCACAGTGTTATATGAGTGCCATTATAAATTGGTGTAATACTCTTTAAATTTTCAATCTCTCAAAAATAAAACACGTATTGCATCAACTACACCGCCCCTTCCTCAGTGGGCCTCAGGCCCCTCCATCAGGGCAATGTCATCTTTTTTACTGTTAATATACGATGACTTAAACAATAGTTGGAGGTCAAATGCTTCTGTTCCTCTGTATGTTAAAAACACAAACACACACACACACACACACACACACACACACACACACACCTACTGTTTGAAAAAAGGAAAATGTTCACATACAAAGCCTGTGCTGCTGTATACCAGGAGAAACTTTGATTTCCAGTGCTCAAACTTTCATGACGTTCATATCTTAGCCACTTAATGTAACTGTATAATCAAAAGCTATACAATATACAATGTTTCAAGCTTCCTGCTGTTTAATGAAATAACAATGATCGGCATGATATACGTCATTTAAAACACATGGGGTGAGAGAATGTAGCTGTAATTGCTATACTGGGGACTAATGACACAGTAAAGGTCCGTGGGATCCTGCTGATGCGATGTCGTAACTGACCTTAAGCGTGGTACAGCAAGGTTGGGAACATCAGGAAGTTAGCCAGAGAGCTGAGATGGTTTCATGCACACAGTAGTGTTGTCACAGTTATTCTGGGAGAGACTGAAGTTGAGACAAGATGTCACACTGCAGCCTGGCAATTTGAGGAGAGTCATATCTGAGAGCTATC